AAAGCCGAGCTTCATGAAATCACAGATCAGTTGATTTTGGTACTTGAAGCAGTTGCCATTACATCTTTGACTGCAGAGAAACCAATTCATAATCACAGAACCATAGAATCACAGAATCACAGAATGGTCTGGGTTAGAAGGGAATTTTAAAAATCATCTAATCCACTCCTTCCTGCAATGAGCTGGAACATCTTCAACTGGATCAGGCTGCTCAAAGCCTCACCTAACCTGAGCTTAAATGTTTCCAGGGATGGGGCATTGTTGTAGTTTAAGCCCAGCCGGTAACTCAGAACCATGCAGCAGCTCACTCACTCCTCTTGTCCGTCCCACCTCCTGGAGGGATGGGGAGGAGAATCAAAAGAATGCAAATCCCAAGGGTTGAGATAAGAACAGTTCAACAACAAAAGTATAATATAAAGCTTTAACTACTGCTACTAATGATAATAATTCTGATAAGGGAAATATCAAGGGAAGAGGATATAAAACTAAAAAGGGAAGGGGAAAAACGAAACAATAAACATAAATGTTGCACAATACAATTGCTCACCGCCCCCTGACCGATACTCAGCCTGACCCAAGCAGCAATCAATCCCTTTCAGGTGACTCCTCCCCGTTTATAGACTGGGCATGACATGCTGTGGTATAGAATACCCCTTTGGCTAGTTTGGGTCAGGTGTCCTGTATCTACTTCCTTGTAGAGGGCTTCTTGTGCCCCTCCTCACTGGCAGAGCATGAGACTGAAAAGTCCTTGACTGGGGTAAGCGCTCCTGAGCAACAACTAAAAACATCGGTGTGTTACCAGCCTTGTTCTCAGACTAAAGATGAAACACAGCCCTGCACCAGCTAATAGACAGGAGAAAAAATAACTGTTACAGCTGAACCCAGGACAGCCATCTATCAACTCTCTGGGCAACCGGTTCCCTTGTTTCATGACCTTCATCATAAAAAATGTCTTCCTTATACCCAGTCTGAATTTTCTCTCTTTTACTTTAAAGCAGTTACCCCTTGTCCTGTCCATCAGGCCCTATAAAAATCTGTACCCATCTTTCTTGTAAGTCCCCTTTAGGTATTGATGACTGTTATAAGGTCTCCCAGAATTTTCTCTTCTACAGGCTGAAAAACTCCACCTCTCTCAGCCTTCCTTCACAGGAGAGGAGCTCCAGCCCCCTGGGCATTTGTGTGGTCTCCTCTGGACCCGCTCCAGCAGGTCCGTAACATTCCTGTACTGAGGATTCCAGAGATGAACACAGTACTCCAGCTGGGTCTCACAGGAGCAGAGTAGAGGGGCAGGATCACCTCCTTCAACCTACTGGTCACGGTCTTTTTGATGCAGCCCAGGATATGGTTGGCTTTCTGGGCTGAGAATGCACCCTGACAGCACATGTGCAGCTTTTCACCCCTTTCTGCAGGGCTGCTCTCAATCCCTTCATCCCCTAACCTGTATTGATATGACCGTTGTCCTGACCCAGGTGCAGACCTTTGCACTTGGCCGTGTCAGAACCTCCTGAGGGTCACATGGGACCACTTCTCTATTTTGCCCAGGTCCCTCTGATGGCATTCCTTCCCTCAGGTGTGTCAATTGCCCTGGTCAGTTTGGTGTCATCTGCAAACTTGCTGAGGGTGCACTTGATTCCACTGTCTATGTTGTTGATGAAGACATTAAACAGTACAGGTCACAAGACCAGTAACAAGACAGGAAATCTCTCTTAATGATAGATACAACTATATTGAATAATTCTCGGCTGCTTCTAATAAAAGAATCTAGAAGATTCTTCTAGTGGCATGCTCTCTAGCTTACATCTCAAAAGATAAAAATATCAGTGGACTACACCATATTTGCTCTGTGTAACCAGGCTAATAATATATGACCTTCTGGAGAAGAAGAAGAGGGCATTGAAGGAGTGTCTGCCAGTGTGATGGTATCCAGTTTGATTTCATCAGAGGGATTCTAGGTGAACAAGTTTACATAAAACCCATGCAAGTAAATGCATTGTTGGGCACCTACTGACACTCAAGCCCCAAGCCTGCTGTTCATTGCTTACAGCATTTCTTTAGCTTTCAAACAATGATTATTCTGTTTAGCAAATTCTCAAGTGTAAATAGTATTTTCTTTATTACTAATTTATGTGCACATGGCATAATCCCATTTTCTTTCCTTTGAATGGATTTCCCTAAGTGACCCTGTACAGTAGAGGTTACTCCATAGTAGACCTCCCCTTTTACACCATTGTTATGAATAAATTGAAGGGAATGACTGGCATACTCAGCTGAATATCAGTGAAGAAAGGAGTTTTACTGGCAAATCTGATTTTGAAAGCCATGTCTTCTAAGAGAAGAATATTCAACAGGGCAGATTTTTACATAAATAATGTGTTGAATTCATTACATATATTCTTTCAGAGAGCCACAGGGGATTTCCCTCTTAGAATCACAATGCAAGTTATAAGATACTGAGAGCAGCACTATGCTAGTATTGTTATTTGGAAGATCCTATTTTTCAGGACCCTCCAGGGTGAGCTGGTGAAGATTCTGTATGTATTATTATGTATTAGTCTTCAGCTGCAAAAATAAAACCTTGTGTTTCAGCACTTATCCTACAGCTTGTTATGTTAGTTAATTTTGAAAATGGATTGAGGTAGAAAATTACATACCAAGAAGATAGAATAGCTTGTATGTGACTCACAGTGTGGAAAAAAACAAACCCATTGTAATAAGCACATGTACATGTATTTTCACTGATAGGTTTTGTAACAAGATAGTTTTGATTTGGTTGTTTTTTTAAAAAGGAATCCACATGCCTCTCTTAGATCTGTTTAAAAAATATCTTTCATTGAAAATGCTATTGCTGTGCACATGCGTGAATCAACATCCCCTTGCTTTCACTGTGATCTTTACTTTTCACAAAAGTGGTTATTAAGTAGTGACTGCTTCTGTTCTTAATCACTACTTCTACAGCCCTAGTGGTAGGGTCTAGTCCTTGACTTGGGCTCCTCTGTGCTTCTATCAAACTAGTAATTTCCAGTGTGAAAGAGCAGCAGGAATTGTGGGAGCTTTGTAGGTCCGTGTTGCATATTCAGACTCCCTGACTGTAGTTTTACATTTCCTTTCCAAGCAATGGAATTCTGTGTCCTTGCCAAGACTTATTACAGCTATGTTTTCCGTGGTCAGGCAAGGATAAAAAGAGGAGTCCATGTCTGATGCACACAAATGCTCTTTAAAAGAGATAGGCCACATGACAGTTGGCTATCTGGGTCTTCTCTACTAAGAGAAAAATAGCCAATAACTCCAGCCTTCCTGTTCAAAAGCCTGTTTTCTGTATGAATCCATGTGCAGGCTAAATAACTGCATGAAGTGCTCATGAACTGTGTGGGTTTGTGCATCAGAACTCTGTAAACAGTGTTCTGTGCGTATCAGTGTTCAAGTGGCCAAATCCTCATGATCCCAGGAGTATGGAATATAAACCCCTTCAGACAAAATAAATGATTGCTAGGTAATATGAAATATCTCCAGGATAGAAGCAGAAGGGACATTACCTCCAGAAAAAAAAAACAAACAGAACTCTTTCACTCGTGAATAGTGATTCGGAGAAAACTCCAGGAACAAACTCGATGGTTCATCTTTTCTCCTTGCCCACTGGTCTGAGGCCTGTATGGAAAATGTAGTTGCCAATCACTTTCTAATTTTTTGCTAATTTCTTGTGACAATTTTGCACTAAAGTGTGAACTGGTCGTAAGAAATTGCCGCTGGTACTCCAAAACGAGGTATTATTTCATTTAATAATATTTTAATCACTCGTCTTGCATTATTTATCCTACAGGGGAATGCTTCTGGCCAGCCTGAAAAAGTATCCGTTAACACCAACAAATATCGATAACCCCCTTTTCTTGGTAATTCAGAAAAATCTATTTGCCACTGCTGTCCTGGATAACTTCCTCTCCCAGTTGTCCCAGTTTGATTTCTATTTTCAGTTTTAGGATTATTCTTAAGACATAACTGACATTGTTTTGTCACTAACTGAACTGTGGTGTATAGATTCCTTCCTACAATTTGTCTAAATATTTATACAAAGAGTTGCTACCCCAATGAGTTTTATTATGTTCTTCCTGAACTAACTTCCAGAGTTGGCTATAGGGGATTACAATTCGCCCATCAGGTACTTGGAACTAACTTCCAGAGTTGGTTATAGGGGATTACAATTCGCCCATCAGGTACTTGAGTCCAACCCTCTTTATTTTCCTGTCCCTTTAGATCCTCAATCAATTTTATATCCTCTTTTGAATACCTAGGTTTAGATTTTTCAATTGTTAGTTTGCTGTCAGGGATTAAGGACATTATTTGAGATTGTTCAGGTGCTCGTTTGGCTTCAAAATCAGCCAAATTATTTCCAATTTCCTGATCAGAGTCACCTTGTTGATGTCCTTTACAGTACATAATAGCTACTTCTTCAGGTAGCTGAACAGCTTCCAGTAATTGTAGAATTTCTGTAGCATGTTTAATCTGTTTCCCTTGTGTGTTCAAAAGTCCTCATTCTTTCCAGATAGCATCATGTGTATGTACCACAACAAATATGTATTTAGAATCAGTCCAAATATTTATCCTTTTATCTTTAGCCAATTCCAGGGCTCTTGTTAATGCTATTATTTCTGCCTTCTGGGCAGAGGTGTTCGCAGGTAAAGGTTTAGCTTCTCTTACCTGTGAAGTGGTGGCAACAGCATATCCAGCTTTTCGTTTATCATTTTTCATGAAGCTACTACCATCAGTAAACCAAGAATCAGCATCTTCCAGAGATTTTTCTTTCAAGTCTGGTCGGCTCGAATATACAGCCTCTATGGTGGTCAAGCAGTCATGTGTTAGTGGTTCTGTCGATTGTTCCTGCAGAAAAGATGCATGGATCCAAAGTCTGCACCATCCTGTCATTCCCAGGAATGTCCGGAGCTCCTTGACGGTCGACGGCCGTGGAGTCTGGCTTCTTTTCTGGCAGTTCCAAGTTCTTTCTGTCCTCCTGTTATTTCATATCCTAGGTAGGAAACTCAGGTTTGGATTAGTTAGGCCTTTTGTCTGCATACCAGATAACCATTCAGTCCCAGAAAATTTAATAATTCCACTGTCCACTGGGTACATTCTTCCTTTGTTTCTGTAGCAATTAGTAGGTCATCCACATATTGTGACAGAGTCCCCCTCTGAGTGGGTGGCTTTCATGGTTCTAATTCTCGTGCTAACTGATTTCTAAAAATTGCTGGACTGTTTTTAAACCCCTGTGGTAATACTGTCCAAGTTAACTGAGTTTTTCTTCCTGTGTCAGGATTTTCCCATTCAAAAGCAAATAAATTTTGGCTTTCTTTGGCTAATGGTATGCAAAAGAAAGCGTCCTTTAAATCCAGGATGGCAAACCATTTCTGATTTAATTTTAGTTTGGTCAATAAATATATGGATTAGCCACCACAGGGTGGATGTCCTCTAGTATTTTATTTATTGCCCTTAAATCTTGAACTAGCCTACAGCTTTTCCCATCTGCTTTCTTTACTGGTAAAATGGGGGTGTTATATTCCGTACACATTCCACTAATAAACCGTATCTTAAAATTTATCAATTATTTCTGTAATTCCCCTTCTATCCTGTATTCTTAAAGGATACTGTTTTATTTGAACTGGGCAGGCCCCCCTTTTTATTTCCACTTTAACAGGCAAAGCATTTTTCACCTTACCTGGAACTTCAGATGCCCATACTCCCACATATACCTGATTAAGGATTTCTTCTATTTCAGGGAGGTCCTCCTTTTTGCTTTTCTGTTGAATTAAAGATAAACTCAAAACTGCAATTAATTGATTGTTTTTAACTTTAAATTCCATTTTGCCTTCTTTAAATGTTGCTTCTCGCCCTAATAAAGATTTTAGAGAATTTGGCATGCATAGAAATTTATGCATTCCTATTTGTTTCCCCCCCGCTTTTTCGTGGTGGCCAGTAGCACCCACACCTGTAACGAATCCTTTCCTCTCTAACACCAAATAAGTTGCTCCTGTATCCACTAAAATTCCACTTTATTTCCTCTAGTTCCTCATTTTAATTTAACCAGTGGATCTGCTCGGGTAGATTCCCCAGGTCCCTGTTAGTCTAGGTCCAATTCAGTCACCGGAGCAACCCCATGGCACTCCCCACCCCTCCAGGGCAGTCTCACTTCCGACGTCCAACCTCCCCATAGCACGCACACCGATCCAGTTCCACAGACGAGCTCACTCCCCCACCTCTGCCAGTCATCCCTCCCCCCATGCTCAAACACAGGAGCTGCCCGAGCTCCCCACCTTTCCCCCTTGGTTTTCCCTTTTTTTTTTTTTCACAGCTGCTCACCCTGCTCTGCAGGGGCTGCAGATGCCTGCCTCTGCAACAGCGCTTCTGGTTTAACCCCTTCTTAACTCTGAATGTGAATGTGCCGCTTGTTGCCAGTGACTGCAATCTCCTCCTCCTTGTCAATAGTGTCATGCTGCTTCAGGCTGTGTAGCATAGTCTTAACAGCATTTTTTTACCCCAGCAGTCTGCAAGCGTTCTTTACCCATATGTGGTCTGTATTGCGATGTATTGAAGTGACCTGCAACGATTTTCATGAAAGTGTAGTCTTCAGGGTATTAGGGAAAGACCGTCAGATGGAGAGGAAACTGTAGTACAGAAGCATGAGGTGAACAAAGGAGTTTAAGCATGGGACAGCAAGAACTGCTAATGTTGACACAAGTTGTACAGGGAGGACTTAGTATGTCTTCTACTAAATCTGTCTTTTGTGCTATTAATATCATGGATGGTCTGCAACAAGAGCTGGAGGTAACCAAGAGACTGCAAGATTGATAAGTGACTGTATGGTGAATACATTTTATAGTATTTAATATACAGGATACTGTGACAGCCTCAAAAATATTGCAGCCCCCAGAGAAATACAGAATATGGTAGGTCTGCAATCTCAGAAAAGCCCTTAGGAAGAGCTAAGAAACAATTTGGGGGCTGATATTGTCAAGTGCTAGGACAAGGGGGAAATCTTATTAAATGAAATCGAATTACAAACAGCATCCTGTTGGCAAGTGCTGAGCAGTGCAGAGCCAGCTCATGAATTTTGGAAGCCCTGTTTTGTCACAGTTAGTTAAAACCTGATGCTTAATAACACTGGATAGAATTCTGTGGTCTTCAGCAGAGGCATGAACATGCATAAAAATTGCACAACTGTTGAGGGGAAACATAATCGTGATCTGTCAGTAACATAGCAAGACCGAGATGTAGGATTTAACTGCTACATATCCACAACTCGCAAGAACAGACTGGTAAATGCAAGGTCTGTGATTGTGTCTGTGACTGCACAGACATACCCAAGACAGCTTTAAATAAATGAGCTAGGGAAGTGCCAGCAATATTGCTAATCATGCAAGTACTTTGTTTATTTCATAGGTGGGGTTTATATCCTTTGCTGAGGTCTCTGCTAGAAGAACGTGAATTATCTGCTATAAAACTGATTTAGATATAGCTACTCTATGTGGTAGTTACTGTGGTGCAGCCTTCTTCAAAACATCGCTTCCTAGAGAAGCTTTTTAAGCTGATGCACCTAACGAATTGTTCCTTCTCTCAGCCTGTGTTTGCACAGTGAGGAAGCATCAATACTTTTATCTTCTCTGTGAGCAATACTTCTGCTACCTTGAGTTGATGTGTACTTCATATCACTGTTATGACAGTTTACGGTTAATAATGACATTGGTATAGCTTTGCCCTTGTTTGAAAGCACTGTTCAGCAGCCTGACCACATACCCCAGCACACAGCCAGCAGTGACTGGCAGAACAGAGTATGTTCACAGGAATGTGATGGCCAGCAATGGCAGCTAAGCTGTGGGAAGACAGAAGGAATTTTTCCTTAAATCTTCACAGAGCAGCAGCGACGGTCACTGATACAAGAGCTCCCCTTTGCTAGCTACAGCCACCACCTGGGTGCACCTGAGAGCAGTCAGGTAATACTCAACAGTTTCTGGCTGAGAAATCAGCTCTTGGGGTTATTTTGCTGTTAAAGGCATGCTGCATCTCCACCCACTGCCTTTCTGCCTCTCAAGGACAGTGTTCCCTGCTCCTTTCCCTACTCTTTCCCTTGAGTCATCACTAGCACAGGTGCCCTGCAGCAAAGGCTCTATGTTTGAAGCTGAAATTGCATTTTCTTTTCAGTGTGGGGTGGTCAGTGATTTTGGAGGAGTCCAATGTGCTTGTGTTTCACACAACCATTTTATACAACTCAGTGATTAGATCCAGACTGGACTAGGGTTAGATACAGCAGCTGCTGTCAAGGCAACAGAATTAAGACTGTGAAACACTAAAGATAGATGAGACTGTGATGAGTCTCTACTTTAGAAGTCAAGATATTAGAAAATGCCATTACATAATGAAGTTCAGGACAGAGAATGAGACATGATGACAACAAATCTGATGTGGAGTGCCTGGAAATATTTAGGAAGAAGGAGCTAGACTCTGGAACAACAGCGAGTGGTGAAGTGAACAGCACAGAGCAGCTTTCAATTGCTGGAAGCTGCTTCAGGTACACAACAACATGGTCAAATATAAACTGGGTTCACTAGTCAACCCTTGGTTCTTCCCAGCTTGATCAGATGAGGAAACCACTGTTCCCACAGGCTGGTTGGCTGCAGGGGCTCCTGACAACACTGCTTCCTGTGCTGGGCAGCTGGAGGAGGCGAGGGCAGTGCCGTACAACTGGACAGGTTGTAAATGGCCACTGAGCTGCAGGAGTTACCTGTTCAAAAAGACAGGGTGAACCAGGGAGATATGCAGTGCTACCATTCAGGGTCTTCCCAAGTAGCATCAGAAGAGAAGGAAATAGCATCTGCCATGGCAGGCCTGAGTATACAAGAGATATATAAGTTCAGGTTAGAATTAAAGCCTCTTTTTGCTCCAATTTCTTTCATATAATACTTGTGAATCAGCATAAAGAGCTGCAGAATTAGTTGCATTTGTAGCAATTGTTACAGAGCTGGGTATGCAATCATGCCTTAAAAGAACCATGATTTCTGACATGTCTCCGTAGACTGATTTGAGCCATTTATCATGAAATCTCAACTTTAGGGAAGGTTGAGTGCACTCTCTAAGCTATAAGTTAAAGTATCTTTTCTATCAGTTTTTTTTTTTTTAAGCTTGCTGTACCTAAGGCAAAATGCACAATGTGTATCTCTGTGTAGAAGTACTAACATCTGATTGTATTTTGTTTTTTAACCCATCTGGTGCCACCATTTTATAGTTGAATGGAGCCTGCTGAAGTGAGAAAGGAAAGGAAGGAGCTGTTTGGCAAGAGCAGGCAATGCCCATGGGGTTTCACAGTACAGAGAAATTCAGTGAAGAAATTCCTGTAATAGCTGTATTGTACAAAGGAAGATCAGTGACATTCAGGCAGAGAGAAGGTCTTAGCTTTGCCATGCTTAGATTAGGACAACCCAGGCCATGCCCTTCCTTCCTTCCCTCCTTCTTTTGTAATACGAGTGACACTGTCCTCCACAGTGGAGCTGGTGTGGTTGTTTTCATAGGGTTTTAGAGCAGGATCCAGATCTCTGGGGTGTAAATTTGTTGGTTCTTCCAATGACTCCCCTCCTGTTGAAATCCCATGAAACGTTTGAAGTGAGAAATTGAGTTCCTTGGTTGAGTGTCATATTTTTGTCCATGTCTCTTCTCTCACTAAGGCTAAACGTGAAGTAAACAATAAAGGCCAGGTCCTCTGTCAGGGAATATGGGAAGCCAAAATGGTCATTACTGAAAAGGGCACTTCTGGCTGCCCACCATTATTAGACAGGTGACATCCAGTCAGGATACCTCCATAACCAAGAATCAATCCAATTAGAAACAACCTGAATGTGGGCAAAGCACGCTTTTCAAGTAAATTAACTAATACTGTAGCCTGGTACCATCCTATGCAGACTGGTTTTGGTGATCTCACTGGCCCTGGCTGGCAAACAGAATTGTAACTGTCCTTCTGTGTCTCAGAAGTGTCTTTTTAAAATAATTGGTCCTAAGTGTTCTGTTGCAACATTCCTGTGTTGTTTTTCCTAAACCTTCTTCAGTACCACATTCAGTGAGATTATTTTTGATACCTAAGTATGGAAGCTGTTGAATAATCTTTCCAAGATGTTACAATATCTGATTTCCAAATACCCTTAAGGTCAGGATGCCACCATAGTTTTAACCTAGATGGATAATTTGCCTCAGATAATCTAGTTCCATTAAATACAAATGCTTTTATTCCAACAGGCCTGCATTAAAAGGAAACATCTATCCAGGCCTGACATAGGATGTAATATTTTTATCTGGATGAAAACCTACCTGCAAATTGCTAGCTAGAATGAGGCTCTAACTCATGCAGGTTTAAATGAAGAAATACCCTGTAGAGTGCATACTGCCTTTTGCCCTCAGTCCATGAGATTCTGCTTTCACTGTTTTCAGGAAAAAACAAGGAAAAATGCACTTGCATATAGAACATTGATTGGTCTGGTGATGTTTTATATATTATGCTTAAGAGCTCCTGACAAGTGCAAAAATATTTCACTAGGTGTGATCAGGAAGTAAATTGTCCCTGCCCTCCGGCATGATCCAGCAATTACCTCCAATAGCAAAACCTCTAAGTTAATCACAGTATTAGCAAACTCAGTCTCATTGTTCATATGCTGAATCTTTTCCAGTAGAGTGTTATCCATTGAAATTAGAGTTTACAGGATGTTCATTTGAGGCAGACATTTCTTACTGGTAAGAATACTCTAATTACTATTTTCTAATTCAATTAAGCTTTTTAAAAATGTTAACCATGACATTTTAATAGCTTCAGCTCATATTGGTATTCTGACAACACACTTCAGCTCAGCCACTTGTGACTGAAAAGGATGTTTTTCCAATTAAGAAATCTCTTCTTAAAGGCTTCTCT